ATGGATTGGGGAGGGCTGACCTCACTCTGGGCTCCAGTTAAGCTCCCCATCTGCCTAGCCACATAGAGTGGTGTGGGGATGCATTGCCAGATAAAATACAGGATGCTGATCTATGCCATATTTAAATTCAGAATTTAGCTAAATAGTGTCTCATACGTCCCAAACATTGCATGAGACACACTCAGAACTAAGAAATTATGTGTTGTTTATGTGAAATTCAATGTAACGGGACATCCGGAGTTTTGATTTGCTAAATCACTAAATCTGCTCTTCAGGAGAATCCGTGAGAGTGTTCTCTGGGACATTTTTGGAATTATTGGGAAAAAGGCACTCTTTCCCCAGTAGGACTGTGGGAGATGCTGTTATCCACCTCTGGGATGCCTTCCTGAGAAGGGAGGGTCTGCATGATGGGTTGAGTTGAGAGATGGAAAAAAAAAATGTCCCTGTAATGTCTCCTCCAGACCCAGCTGTCCTGATGAACCCCAGCCTGGACACTTAGGTGAGCTAAAATCATTCCTTTGTTACTTGTAATGGAAAAAGCCTTGTCCAGAATATCCTGCCTGTGTTCCCAATTCTGGACCGCAGCTCCAATTTCCTCAATTTTAAGACAATTTCTTTCTATCAAAAGCTTTTTCCATTCCTCAAAGAAGTCTACTCAGTTCCATTCTTCTCCAGGATCCTTTGCAGACATTCCAAAAAGCCTGCCCACAGCCATAAAGAAAATGAAATCATGTCGTTTGAGAACATTGTGTTAAATGAAATAAGCCAAACTCAGCAGGTCAAGGGTCTTGTTTTCTCACAGACGTGGAAGCTAGAGAGGAACAAGGAAAAGAAAGGTGTTGGGGTCTCTCATAAAAATCGAAGGGAGACCAGGAGGGGAAGGAGGAAAAGGAGTGGGGAAATACTGGGGAATGATATGGGCCAAATTATATTGTTAGATTGTGTGCAGGTATGGATGTGTAACACCAAATTCCACCAGTATGAACAACTCTAAGGCACCAATAAAGATGTGGGGAAAAAACACAAAATAAAATAAAACTCTAAAAGCAAAACAAAACAAAAAGCTTGCCCACCGTATTTCCGGGGTGATACACAGGTGGTTTCTGGGTTCTGGAATGAATATCTCTGCCCCAGAGGCTTGGCTTATTTTAAAGCCCTGGATGCTCTCTGGGTTTCAATTTTCTCCAAGTTACATGAAGCCCCAATAACATTCTCGAGCAGATTTATTTAACAGACGGTGAGCAAAACAAGAGGCAGTCACCGGGAGTCAGCATGGTCTCTCTTGAAGTGGAAGGACACTTTGTAAAGACCCCTGTGCGTGGGGTCAGGAGCCCAGGTTCAAGTTGACACAGGGTCACTGTTCACACGCCTGGCCTGGAAGTGTGATTGTGCAGGTGAGCATTTGGGTGAGGAATCATTTAGAGTGCAGGGGGTTCTCCTGATCTGTTGGCTCTGTATCTGTGAAGTCAACCAACCTCAGATTTTAAAGAGAATTTTTTTAATTTATTTTTTATTTCTTACATACATGAAAATAGTGAAATGCATTACATTCATAATTATCCATTCACAGCACAATTTTTCGTAACTCTGTATATAAAGTATGTACATGCCAAATTATGCCATTATACATGAGCTCTCTTTTTTTTTTGCATTACAATTCTTAATACACCTTTATACCACAATTTATCATATCTCTGTTTGTATATAAGGTATGTTGACACCAAAATTGCATCTGTACTACTGCCAGGTACAGCCTTGTTTCTTGTCATTATTCCTTAGACAATATCACATCATAACTATTTGCATATCATTTACATTGTACTGATATTATAAGTAATCCAGAGATGATTTGAAGTGTGTGGGAGGATGTGGGTAGGGTGTATACAAATATTCCACCGTTTTATACAAGGGTCTTGAGCATCCTTGAGCCTTAGTATCCACAGGGGTCCTGGAACCGACATCCTGTAGCTACTGAGGGATGACTGTACTCTCCACATCCTTTTCCTCCTCTGTGAAATACCAAGGTTACAAGGACATCTAACACGTGCTCCCACCTCTGCAGCTCAGTGACCAACATCATGCTGAGATCTGGGCATTGGCATGGACAAAGCAGATCTGGATTTCAGGGAGTGTTTTTGTTTTCCTTTTTGGATTTTTCTTTTTTGTTTTAAGTGCTTGGATCTAATCCTGGTCCAGGTAAATGCTCTACCCCTTTGCCACATCCTGAACCCTGGAGGCAGATATTTTACGAGATTCTCTTTGGGAAGTAGTCAAGGATTTTTGAGGAGAAATGAAAAATAGAGAAAGAGAAAGAGCAAATCAATCTAAACGCCAGGAGATGGGTGCAACTTGCCTCCAAGAATTCACAGGCGCATTCTTAGGGGTGAGAGATGGCCCATCATCATGGGGGCTTGTTCTGTTACCCTGAGCTTTATCAACAATTTAAGGTAATTGGAGGTATTCTTAGGTGACACAGAACTGAGAGAAATGGGTAGTACATTACATTGGACAGAAACTAGATTCGAACCCATTCAAGACATTCTGAATCAATGATTTAGAGCAGTGGGCAGTTTGGTTTATGATAATCAGAATGTGAGTCATCAGCAGTTGTTCAAAGAGCAAACACAGCGCTAGTTTGTATTATCAGTTCTTCAGGGCCAAGTTCAAGGGAGACAAGAGCATCTTGTGCTCTGCTCTGGACAAGCCCCCCCGACATTTTTTTTTTGTACTTGGGATTGAACCCAGGGACACTTAACTACTGAGCCACATCCCGGGCCCTTTTTAAATTTTATTTGAAGACAAGGTCTCGCTAAGTTACTTAGAGCCTTGCTAAGTTGCTGAGGCTGGCTTTGCACTTGTGATCCTCCTGCCTCAGCCTCCCAAGCTGCTGGGATTATAGGCTTGCACCACAGTGACCCAGCTGGATGCACCCTTTTACTATTAGGGGTCATCCTGTGGAGATCAGGGTGTGATGGGAGAGGTGTGGGAATCACCTGTTCACTTGCTCATTTGCCTGTGCAAGCCTTTATTCCTTGAGCAAATGGATTCAGCAAAGCCCTGATTGGTAATGACCGCCGATCCTCTTTGAAGTCAGATAGGGTATAAGTAAATAAAAGACAAGGAGATCATTAAATATGCCAGGAACTGTGCTCAGGCTGTGGTGTTCAGAGTCTGCTAATCAGCTTTGCATGACTGCACAAAATACCTGAGACAGACTTAAAAGGAGGACAGGTGGGTTTGGCTCCTGGTTTTGAAGGGTTTGGTCCACAGATGATTGGCCCATTGCTTCTGCGCCCGTGGGAGGGAGCACACCATGGGGGTGTGTGGAAGAAGCTGCTCTCCTCATGATGCTGGGGAGCAAAAGAAGAACGCCAGGAGGAGGCCCGAGTCCTAACATCCCAGTCAAGGGACGCCTCCAGGTCCTCCTTCCTCCCAGTAGACCCCAGCTCCTAACGGTTCCGCCACCTCCTCAGAGCCACAGGGGCTGGGAACAAAATCTCTGATACAGGAGCTTGGGGGACATTCAAGATCCAAACTCTAGCACAGAGGTAAATCAGAGTTCCGGCCTTCAAGAATCTCAGCCTGGAGAAGGGAGAGTCCACAGAGCTGGGAGACAGCAGAGAGTTGGGAACAAGAGCACAGAGAGAGAAGAGCCAGGGCAGGTGGGAACAGGGGCCAGGGTGGTCAGTCCAGACCTGTGCGTGTGGAGGCAGGAGCTCAGTTCCCCCACTCAGAACCCACTGGCGCCTGTCAATCATTTATTCCTTTTCATTATCAACCCACATCCGGGAGGCAGCCCTCTTAACGGGCTTGATAGCATCCTTCCATTTGGATGGGTGGTTGAAAGTGTCTGTGGTTGCTTTGTGCACATTTTGACATCAATGGTCTTGTGCTAGGTATCTGATTCTTTCTTGTTTTTATTTTTTTTCCCTATTCAATTCTATGTTTGAAGAACCAACCCGGTTTATGAGTGTCCGGCCCATCCTCATCATTCACAGATTCTGTATTTGTGATTTGACCTACTCACTAAAACTTATCAGTAGCCCCCAGATCAACACTTGTGGCACTTTCCATGGTCACTTACAGACACACATGGAGCAGGGAAAACCTTGAGTCACCTGCTACGCCAGGGTTCAGCAGAGGTAGAAACCAGTGTCCTTTTTGAATCTATCTAGTGCCATGTTTCCCATTTTAGTGCTTTTTTCTTAGAAATGTCACTGCTTAAAATGGCCCCCAAGCATAGTGCCGAAGCTGACGAATGTCCAAAAGTGTTGGAAGGCTGTGATGTGATTGAAGGGAATATCCATGCACTAGACAAGCTCTGGTCAGAATTATAGTGCTGTGGGCCACCAATCCAATGTCAGTCAATCAGCAATATGGATTAGATAAGTTGTCTTTAAACAGAAACACACATGAAACAAGGTTATGTATTAATCAGTTGGCAAAAACACTGTGACCAGAGGATCACAAAAACCTTACTTGTATATCCCCTAGAAGCAGTGATTCAGTATTCATGAGACTTAAAAGAACAGAACTACTGTATATAATGAAAACTGACTTTATCTCTGTTTCTTGGCTTTTCAGTGCTGCATCGTACTCCACACCACAGTTCCTTCATGTATCTATTCCCTCAACAATGAACACTCAGAGTGCCTCCAACTCTCAGTTCCCGTTAACAAGACTGCCTCAAGCATTTCCATGTATCTTCCCTCAGAGACCAGCTTGAGAATTTCTCCAATGGCATTCCCAGGAATGAGATTTCCTGATCCTGGGGTAAATGCATTTGACTAAGTACCACCTTATTGCTCTGAAGAAAGACTGCCCATCTACACTCCCACCAGCATCACACAAGAGCCCTATTATGTGACCTGAAATTTCCTAAATTTCTAATCTTTACCAAATCTGTCAGGTAGTATTTTTCTCAGCTTTTTTGCTGCTGTGACTAAAAGAACTGACAAAAACAATTAGTGGAGGAACAGTTTATTTGGGGGCTCACAGTTACAGAGGTCTCAGTCTGTAGTTCCATTCCTTGGGGCTCAAGGTGAGGATGAACATCATGGCAGAAGAGTGTGGTGGAGGAAAGCAGTTCACCTGATGATCAGAAAGCAGAAAGAGACTCCACTTACCAGATACCAAATATATACCCAAAAGCCACACCCCCAATGACCCACCTCCTCCAGCCACACCCTACCCACCTTCATTTACCACTCAGTTAATCCCATCAGGGGATTAATTCATGGATTGGGTTAAGGCTGTCTTAACTCAATCATTTCTCCTCTAAAGTTTCTTGCTTTGTCTCACACATGAGCTTTGTGGGGACACTAATAGCTAAACCACAACAGGTAGTAACTCACCATTTGTGTTAGTTAGCTTTCCACTGCTGTGACAAAATACCTGAAATAATAAGCTTAAAAAGAGGAAAGGTTTATTTTGGTTTGTGGTTTCCAAGATTCATTCTGGTCACTTGGTTCCATTGCTTTGGGCCTGTGGTGGCACAGTACACCACGGCAGGAGCACGTGGTAGAGGATGACTGCTTGCCCCAGGGAAACCAAGAAGCAAAGGGGAGAGAGGAAGGGACCACAGCCCCGTTCAAGGGCATGTCTTCAATGACCTCACTTCCTTCGATGAGACCCTTCTTCCTGAAGATCCCACCACCTCCTGGTAGTGTCACAGGCTGGGGATCAAGCCTCTAACATATGGGTGATTGGGAGGTTTGAGATCTAAACTATCCCATAATTCATCATAGTTCTTATTTTATATCTCCAATTAAATGAGTCTGAGCCTTTCTTCCTTTGTTTATTATTTTGAGTTTCTCATCTCATGAACTATTCAGAGTCTTTGCCCATTTATCTATTGGGGTTCTGGTGTTGCTTTTAAAAATTAATTTGCAAAAGTTCCTTGTATCATTTAAATATTTTAACTACATCAGGTTTTGACTTTTTAGATATATTTTTAAGCGGTTATTTGCCTTTTAATTACGAGTTCATGATTTCATCACAAAAATGGAAATTCTTAATTGTGATGTAATCAAGGAATGTGACCTTGGCCTTGGGTCACAAAGGACGGAGGCTTCCTAGAAGTAGAAGGGGCAGAAGCTTCCGAGTGAGCTTCCATGTGAGAGGCCATTTCATTGAAGAAAGGGGTAAAGGAAAAATTTTTTTGAGGGGAGAAGATAAAATGTAGAGAGCAGAAAAGAATTTGAGAAGGGCTGTGAGTCCAAGAGGCCCTAGACTTCGTCGTACTCACGTAGCAAGACCAGCCCTGCGAGCCGGGGAGCTCAGATGGCTACTCAGCTGCGAGAAGAGTGTCGGGGAGCCATGGAACTCAGCCTTGATGAGCCTGAAGTTGCTGTCAGCCCTGGGAGTTGGAGTCTGGGAGAGACGGAGGGAGGGGGAGGGGACTCACACAGAGCTTGTCCCCATGGGTCCTGTGTAATGTTTTTAATGCTGGCCTGGCTGAGCTAGCCTTCCCAGAAGGGTCAATAAGAGGGGACATGGTCTTGCTGTACCCCAGCCCGACCCCACCCTCAGTCGCACGGGCACAACTCATTCATCTCAAGGACATGGCATTAAGGGAGCCCCTCTGATGACTTTTCCTTAAATGCATCATCTAACTGGAGGTTTTCAAATGGCTCTTCTACTTCTAAGGTCTGAGTCAGAGAGAACTGGGTTGGATAGACCCGAGCAGACTTAGGAAATGGGCGGAAAGGGGTGTTCCTGTCCTTCTTTCATTCATTCATTCATTCATCGAACACTGATGAGTGCCGTCTCCATGTAAATAGCTACTGTCCTGCCTTCCTGGAGCTCAGTGGAGAAGGGCAGTAACTTCCAAAACACCAAATCTATGAACATATCCACATTTCCACCCACCTTCTCCCTCCTTTATGTCTTGAAAACAAATAAAGGACATGCAAATTAGAATTAAATAAAAATACCATTTCACCTGTCATATTGGCAAACATCTAGGAGTTTCACAGCCTGCTCTTCCGGGGAGGGTGTAGGACATCAGGCATTTTCAGGCGCTGAGGGCAGGAATGCAAATGGGGCCAGCTCCGTTGTCCTGTGGAGGAGAATGTGGCAATTTATTGAGCAAATTCCATATGAATTTAACTCTGACTTAGCAATCCCACTCCTAGGAAGGCTCCCCTAAGATAAGCAGGCAAAAACAGTAAGATAGGTGTACAGGGATATTTATTATTGTGCCATTTATGACAGCCAAAGACTAGAAAAACAACCCAGATATCTGTCACTAGGGCATTAGTTGCAGAGATATGGATTAGTCAGGTCTGCACAATGGAGAATCCTGCATTATAAAAATACTGATGGAAACTCAGAGGAATTAGGTCAGATGACCTTATAACCTAGTCATTAGACTGTATACCCCAAGGACTAAAAGAGTCTAAAATTGTTTACAAAAATATTATTGTTAGTAATAATAATTTTAGTTATTACAAACGTTATTATTACTGTTACTATCACAGTTGGTGTTTTTATTTTGGAGCTATTTCATACATGTATAATATATTACATATATATATATATATATATATAAAATATAACTTCTGTATTTTAACTATATGTATAATACAATTATAGCACAGACACAGTAAGATAAACCAAATAATTTGTGATAAAGTTAATGTCTAAAAACAAAAATTTTCAACATGAAAGAAAAGACATACAGTAAAGTCATAATGTATTTTCTCTTAGATATTTTTTTCTAGCTCTCTCCGCTACAAAGGTCTAGAAACAGTAACTACCTTGGCATCTCACAGTATCCCTGACCCCCAGACTGTGGTCCTCCAAGATCATCTCTCACTGAGAAGAGCAGGAAGTCTTGCAGAAATGGCAGTTTACATATCTGGAGCCAGAAGAACCAGAGATTTATTATTGTTCCCAAAAGTAAAACAGTCCTCAAACTACTGAACTGTCAGGCTTCTGGAAGGATGAAGCCATCATCATCAAAAAGATGAATAACTACACTGGACTGAGATAAAACAAACATTTAAAAGCCATATGATTTAAATTTTTTTTTTTTTAGTTATACATTGACCCAATATCTTTATTTTGCTTCTTTATTTTTATGTGGTGCTGAGGATCGAACCCAGTACCTCACATGTGTGAGGCAAGCACTCTGCCACTGAGCCACAACCCCAACCCTTAAAAGCTGTATGATTTTAATAATATTAAATTTACAAAAACCTCTGCAGTCACCTTGAGAGGATGCCAGAGAACCATGCCACATTCCCAACACTAGAAAATACAGGGAGGAACCGAGTCTGTTCCCTGTGTTTCCTGTTTGAAATGCATCTCAGAAGAACAAGGAGTTGGTGAGGAAAATCTCTCTCCCCAGATTCTCATCCCAAACTGAAGCAGAGATAAGCACCGGCTTCCTAGGGCGGCTGTAACAAGGAACCACAAGCTGAGTGGCTTCGGCAGGAATCGCCTCTGGCTTGGTTCTGGGCTGGGAGTGTGAGACAGAGGAGCCTGCACTGCGGTGCCTTCTCAGAAGGTGCAAGGCAAGGAAGGATCTGCTCCAAGCTTCCCTCCTAACTTCTGGAAGTTTCCATGGCTTATGGCAGCCTAGTTCTTCCCACGGCTTTCTCCCTGTGGAATAATGTGTCTGTCCCTGTGCCCAAATCTCCCTGTTTCGTAAAAGACACCATTCACACTGGAGAAGTGGAACCTCATCTTAAGTAATTCCATGGGCAGCAAGCCTATTTCCAAATAACGTCCTATTCTGACCTACTGGAGGCTGAGATCTCCACCTATGAATTTTGAGGAGACGTAATCCAACCCAATGCAGGATGTTAGAATTGTAATAGTATTATTTTGTGATTCCCAATGAAATAATGGATCTGGGAACTGGCCAACACTAACAGGCCAAACCATTTAGTAAAAAGATGATGAAGAACTTTGTATTGACAAGAGCAGGCTGACAATACAAAACCCGATCCGTCATTTAATTTATTTACTAATTATTTAATTTAATTAGTTTAGCTGGTACATCAAAACACAAAAGTTGTATATATAAATGGGGTACCACTGATGTTTCAATACATGTGTACATTATGGAATCAGGTTAAACATATCAATCTCCTCAAACATTTATCATTACTCTATGGTGATAAGTTCCCAAATCCTTTCATCTAGCTTTTTGTGACACTATTGTCACCTTACTGTGTAATAATTGCACACTAGAATTTCTTACTCTTAACTACAGCTGGAACCCATCAATCAAACTCTGCCCATCTCTCTCCCCACCCCGTCATTCCACCCACAATTTGTGTTGTTTTAACTGACAAATAAAATTGTTTTTGTTTATCATGTGCCACACATCATTATAAAGTAAGTATGCACTGTGAAATGGTTAAATTGAACTATTTAGCATATGCTTTACTTCACACATCATTTTGATGTGAACACTTAAAATCTATTCTTTTAGCAATTTTCAAGAATACTATACATTGTACAGTCAGGTTAAACAGGTCTGTCTCCTTGATAGCCATAGGTACCACGTCGTACAACAGAGCTCTTGAACTTGTTCTTTCTACCAAACTAAAAACTTGTATCTCATGATGGATATTAACATCTCGAGACACAGGACAGCCTGACAATAATATACCTCCTGAGACATAGCACCACCTGGGAGGTAATCTCACCTCCTTCTGCTCCAAAGGAAAAAACAGACCTAAATCTGATCAAGCCCTTAGCTGTAAAATATAAACTAACAGTTTAGGAAAGTCTCAGTGAGAGGAAAAAGGTGTTAAATGACACCTCACTTGTACACTCAGCAAAATCCAGAATGTGAGAAATTCTATAGGACAAAAGATCTGGTTTCTTCCACATATGTCAAAAAGAAGAGAGGAATTTCCCTTAAAAACCCCTTAGAGCCAAACTCAACATGAAGACCAGGTTGTGGTTTTACTTTGAACGAGTCAGCTGTTGAAACACAAAACAAACACACACACATGTAAGGGACAGTCAGGGAAATTTGTGCACTGACTAGATGCTTGGCAATGTCAATAAACTGGTGATTTTTAAGTTGATAAAAGTTTTGGCATATTTTTTAAAGTCCTTATTTTAAGAAATACTACCTAAATTATTTGTGAAAGAAAATTTATAGGAAGTTGGATTGTTTCCAAATAATTCAGGGCTGCAGCTGAGGGTGTAACTCAGTAGTAGAGCGTATGTTTTGCATGCCCAAGACCCTGGGTTCAATACCCAGCACCAGAAATCATCATCATCATCATCATCATCATCATCACCATCATCACCATCATCATTTAGGGATGATGGATTGGGCAGGATTATAGAGCAAATGAGATTGGTCATGAGTTGAAGCTGGCTGGGGTGACGAGTACATGTGGTGAGAGCCATAGCCGAGTCCGAATGATGCATGGCATTTTTGCCAGAATGGAGTGGTTGAGAGGTGACGCCAGCAAGCCATTGAGATGATAATGGTTATGTTAAGCTGTGTATTAGATCCCTGCTGTCCGCCTCGGCCTGCTACTTTGGAGTTCTCGCGGGGATTCCCGGAGAGTTCCCATTGGTTGGGGAAGTGCCAGAGGAGGGATTTCCAGTTGGTGGTTCCTGGAGGAGCTGCGTGGGTGGCATTTGGGAGAGTTCTGGAGGAGCGTGTGTGGAGTGTGCTGGTGAAGTTCAGAAATAAAGTTTGTTCCTGCTTCAGTAACTTGTGATTTGTGCCCAGCCAGACTGCGGCATACATGGAATTTCATCATATTTTTTTCTCTACTTTTGCATATTTGCAGTTTTATAGACTAAAGAGTTAAAAATTAACGAGGCAGTTTTCAGACTATAAAAGTCTTCTCTCTTCATCTGTTTTGGATCCATCTTATCTTCTCAAGGATTTGACTCTCTGTTTGCTGCTTCTCTGAACATTGTAAATCTCTCCCCCCTGAGTCAGCTCCACAGCCTGTAAACATGGTCTACATTCTCCATCCGAATTTTAATCAATTGATCAAGCAATTAATTAATTCAGGAAAACCAACTTCGATTCCTCCCTTAGCCTTTCTTTTCTTTCTCCATCCACTCAACGTTTCTGTTCTGCACAGCCCACACTTCTCTTTACGGAAGCAGGATTTTATTCTTCCTTTTTTAGATGCAAGCTTGTAATTCCTCAGCCCCCACTTACCTTCCCACCCATGACATTCTGACTACTGATGGAATGTGGTGTCCACCTCTGACATCCACGTCGGCAACCCTCGACTCTCCCTCTCCTGCTGCCTCAGCTGCATGGGCCCAGCTCCATGTCATTCACTGCATGCTCTGGCCATGCTCTGGCCCTGTCTGTCTGTCCTCATCTAGCGTCTGTCTCCCCTCCTCCCCCGCCCTCCCTCCATGCAGCTGCCATCAGTTCCCTAATGCCCAGGTGTCTACCTTCCTCATGCCTCCCTCTCTTTTCTGGGCTCTTCCTGTGGGCTGCTCCTTTCTCTCTTCTGACCTTCAAGATGACCTTAACCATCACTCTTTCTGCTGAGGTCCTTCCTTCAATCTATGTCATTGCACCTGCTTTACTTCCTTTACTTCACCTACAGCAGATTTCAAATGTATTTATATTTGTTTATTTCCCACTGGACTCCATGCTCCACAAGGAGATGAGTCAAATCTGTTTTGCTCCTCATTGCATCCCAGCAAATAGAACACTTCCTGGCACACACAGGCACTTAAAAACATTTGTTGAATGAAAACATTGTATGATACATTAATCAAATGATCACGGAAGTTGGTATAATTACAAAATATAGCTGGTTGCTGTGGTACAGTCCCAGAGAATCAGGAGGCTGAGACAGGAGGGCTGTAGCAGGGGGAGGTCACAAGTTTGAGGCCACTCTACAATTTAAGAAAACCCAGTTTAAAATTCAAAAAAAATAAAAGGACTGGAGATGTGGCTCAGTGGTAGAGCACTCCTCCTGGGTTTAATCTCCAGTACTGGGGGAGAAAAAAAAACAAAAACATCTGGGAGTGTTAAAGTAGTTTGAGAGGTCATCAGAGCTGCCATGGAGAAATCACATTTCAGCTGGGATCTGGAGATAGGGAGAGAGCTCCTTGGGAGGCATGGGGTAAACATACTGAGAAAAGTTTAGCAGACCCAGTGAAAGACAGTGAGGATTTTTAAAACCAAAAAAATCACCCCAAGGTGATCAGAGGTTCATGAGACCCTTAGGAGGGTGAGTCTGTGTGTTTCTTAGGAGCACAGGGCACAGGAGGGAAGGCCCAAGTTCAGGGTGAGCAGGCTTCCCTAGCCGCAAGTTTACCAGCAGAGCAAGAGCCCAGGAAAGTTGCACTGTCCTTGCTCCTTCCAAGCAGGAAGCGTGTGGAAGGCTTTCGTGACACCAGGACAGCTGGGACCACAGGGACAAACACCAGCTGAGCTGAGGGAATTTTTCTCCAAAACTCCAAAATCAACGGAGCTGACCAGCCATGGACTGTAACCACTAAAACTATGAGCCAAAATAAGTCAATTATCTCAGGTACTTGTTACAGACACAGAAAGCAGACTAAGGGGTTTGAAATGTCCATCAGCAGTGTCAAGTAGCGGTAGGTACCTCATTTTTGTGTTAAGTCTGGAAGAAAGGTGAGTGAAAGATAATGCTAGGACTCATTTTGATTGAAGAAAGATCTGGAAGAGGTCCACTAAGCCACTCTTGTTTCACAGTATTCTAGGGAATCTAAATAAATCATGACCTATTGCACTAAGGAGATGGTACAGTGTCATGATCATATGCCTCCAGGTTGGTCTGAATTCCAGCCTGGCCTCCGGGACCTAAGTGACCTTCAGGAGGTCATCGGCAATCTAGGCACTGTAACTACACCCACCTCATTGAACTGGGCAGGTTAAATATAAAGTGCTTCAAATAAGGCCTGCCAAGAGTAAATGCCCAATAAGCAGTAAGTGCTATTATTATTTCAAATTATTACTGTTGTTTGGTGCTGGAGCCCAGATTAAAGCTCAATTTTCTGGACTCCAAGGCCAGAGCTGTTTTTACTAAACTCTTTTTTGCTTTCATATTCTTCCTTTGATCCTTTACCCTTGACCATTTTTTCCTCTTTGGCTTTCCTGGCAGAAGTCTGGACCTTACAGGAGAGAAATAGGAAGATAAAAGGGAAAGGAGAGAGAGAGAGAGAGAGAGAGAGAGAGAGAGAGAGAGAGAAAGGAGGACATCCCATGTACAGTAGTTCACATCTTCCCAGAGTAATCAGGAAACAGGCAAAAATCAAGAAATGGTCACTGAAATCTCTGTTTTGGAACTTGCAGATAAAACTCTAAATCCTTTCCTGCATACTGGTAGTCAGAAGTGCCAAGAAACATCTATATATTCTGCATCTCACTTTGTAATGTAGGTCAATCTTCTTTCAAACAGAGAGCAGCAGGTAAAAAACATCCTGGTCACATAAAAGACCTTGATGAGCGTTAACTTTTTTCAAGTTGTATTTAATGTGGCTGCGGAGGGTGGGGGGGAGACACCTGTATTTCTAGAACTTTCTATACTTTATGATTTTTAAGATTCATCGTAAT